TCTCTCCAGGGACCTGTCTCTCCTTACAACATGTCCAAAGTATGTCAGACGAAGCCCCAGAATCCTTGCCTCCAAGGAGCAGCCTGGTTTAACCCTCTTTAGGATGGATCTGTTTGTTTTCAGGACTGCCAAGAATAACCTAATAGGACTTTTAAAAAAGATAATGAAAAGTAAAGAATGAATTTAAAGGGAAAATAAATTGTCAACACCTATTAACAGACAAATTTAATCGAATTGTTAAAAGGCATGCTCGGTTAGCGTCACAATCGAGCCCAATTCTAGAGTGCTAGCCTGACATTTAGACTGAGGTAAATGTTGGTAAATATATTGGACAAAGTTAGTTATCCAGCTGTGAGAGTATTGTCAACTACTACTGAGACTGTTATAATTTTATACTACTGTATAGTATGTATTTTTAATACATTCTTTATTAATGGCCCATGAACTCACCAGCAACAGTGTAGTCAGGATCTTTATACTTCAAATAAGATAAACTAAGGGAGCTCTGGTGGCCTAGTGGCAAGATGCTGCACTGCAATCCCAAAGGGACGCAGTTTGAATCTACTAGATTCACCAGGGGCAATCTCCTGTGCCGGTTGGATCTGATTTGATGATACACAACAAGGGAAAAAAAATTTAAAATAAGATAGACTGAACTTTTTCCAAGCCAGAGGGAATTCTAATAGAATCACACAGCTATCACCTTTCATTGGTGTTGAACACTAACTAACCAGAAGTAGTTCTGGTTATACCTTGTCATAGTGAAGTGTTGTCTTTATGAAGTCTTGGGAACCCAGTCGTAAATGGGAAGTACATGTAGGTTTTATATACCTTATTTTAATTAACAAATTTGAAGAATTTATAGGACTCAAGGACTAAATCTCAACTTTTAAAGAGGCTCTTGTGTGAAGCAGTTGGATTCTGGAGGGTAGCTTCTCTTGATTTAGTTGAAAGTTGGCTGTAAACTATTAAGTCATTTTGTTCACAATCGTGTGTAAGCAGATTGGTCACCTGGATTAGCTAACAATCAGCTGTGAGCTGGAAGCCTGTTGTGTAAGTCAGTCAGAACCTGCTTGGTGGGCCTTTGTATTTAAAAGTCCATTGGGTCCAAGGGCTGCATGTGTTGTTTGAGAAGAACATTGTTCTAAGTGATAACAGCACTTAGATGCTGAGATAACTTGGGGTTGCTGTGATACTGAATGCTGTGCCTTCGGTGTGTCAAATGCCATAATCGCTTAATCAGTGGTGGACAAGGTTTGGTAGAGCTTCCAGATTAAGACAGGTTTGGAAGCAGGATCAACTTCTTAACAGCCTTTGGAAACTCTTTGAACATTGGAGACACAATGGTGGTTATAGAACAAAGTTCAGATCTTTTATTCATAGGGCCGCTATGAGTCGTACTCAAATCAATGGCACTTAACAAGAACACAATCTCTAAAGCTTATTTATCTCCCAGTTTGTGTTTTCTGTTTTGAGTTGTGTGTCTCCATTTTCTACCAGTTTCTCATATCTTAACTTCCCCCCCCCCATCCTCAGAATTTTGTAGTCTTAACACTAGGGCTCTAGGAAAAGTGCTTCAGTTGTTGGCCATGAAGAGTTTAGTTCCTTTTTTCTTTCTCTAATGTTACATTGTTAAATACACCCTTGAGTTGACCATGACTCATAGTAACAGATCTTAACCCTGAGCTATCCTGTACCATCCTCACCATTTCCATAATGCTTGAACCCATTAGTATAGTCATTTTATCCATCTCATTTAGGGGCTTGCTCTCCAACCTTCTGCCTTTCCTACCATGATGTCTTTTCCCCAAGGACTGGCATCTCCTGACAAGATGCCCATGTGTGAGACAGTTTTGACATACATATCTCTATAGGATACCCTAATTGTACTTCAAGGCTGGGTTGTTCTTTGACATTATTTCCTTTTACAACTTGGGAGAGATCCTTAACAAGTAGATTTTCTCAACACAGTACATTTGTTTTTCTTGATTACTGCTACTGTGGGTATTGATTTTAGCTCCAAGTAAAAAGAAATTGCAACATGCCTATAGATCCAATGGGTGAGAATTTTTGTTTTCTTGTTGGTGAGATACTTTTCAAAGGCTGCTTTTGAAGACTTGGCTCAGATTCATACCATATTCCAGCTTTATCACTAGCTTTATCTACATACATTAGGACCAAGCCACTCAACACAGATACCACCTAGGGATACTAGTAAGATGTAGATCCGAATCAGTAGGTCATTGAATTCTACATTTCAGCAGGTTTCCAGCTGATAATTCAAAGTCCACACTGAAGGATAGCAAAGTACAGAGTAAAATAAGCTCTCACAATTTGTTAGCTTGTTAGAAGGGTTGAGAGGTTGATTGTGAAATGCCTTACTATCCATTTTTGCGTTGACAATCTAAACTATCTCCACTTGCCTGCTACCATCCTTTTGTGCGCTCCTTATCGATCATTAACCTATCATAGGGCCTTAATGTTCAAAAAGATTGAATGGCCCATGGAAAATTTGAGGGTTTTATGCAGATAAAAAAAGACACGTTTTATTATTTTAATGAAAGATTTCAGAGACTTTGAATTTCCAGTCATTCATTGTTCCACTTTGTTCCCTGCCCACCCTTCCCCCAGTTTGCTTTTCTCTTTGAAAATTAAAAAAGAAAAAATTTCATTGTTATACAGTCTCTCTTCTCTCGCCGCACCCCCCTCCCCCCATTGTCCCTCCTACTGCAGATTTCATTCTGGACTCTTGTCATGACAATAATACCTAATCATATATTCCTCCTAAACAGTTCTCTCCCTCACCTGTTTCTATGCCGTATACATTATTTGTCCCCTCTTAGTTTCCCCCAACCCCAATGTCAGTCCCACTTTACAAAAGTGGCACTATGCAGTATTTGTCTTTTTATGACAGGGGTATTTCACTCAGCATAATGTCCTCTAGGGTCACTCATTTTTTATAATATTTCATTAATTCCTTGTTTTTTAATGCAGCATAGTATTCTACTGTGTGAATATACCCGAGTTTCTCTATCCATTCATTTGTTGATGGGCACTTAAGTTGTTTCCAACTCTTTGCTAGTGTGAACAAAGCTGCAGTAAACATGGGAGTGTATATATTTTGGGTGGTAGTTCTGATTTCTTTAAGGTATATTCCTAGTAGTGGAATTGTTGGGTCAAATGGTATCTCTGTTTCCAACTTTTTGAGAAAGCACCATACAGCCTTCTATAGTGGTTGCACCATTTTATACTCCCACCAACAGTGAATAAGATTTCCAATTTCTCCACAACCAAGTCAGCATTTGTTGTTTGTTGTTCTGTTAAGTTTTGTTATTCTTACTGGGTTGAGATTATATCTCATAGTTTTGATTTTCATCTTTCTTAGAGTTAGGGATTTTGAACATTTCTTCATGTGTTTGCCGCCCATTTTGTCTTCTTTGGTGAAATGTCTGTTCATATCCTGTGCCCATTTTTCGAATGTGTTATTTTGTGAAAAAAGACTTTTGAGAATAGTATTAATCTTGTGTTCAGTCCTGTTTTATAACAGTGGCATTATGCAATATTTGTTTTTTTTGTGACTGAGTTATTCAGCTAATATCCTCCAGGGTTACCCATTTTTTATAATATTTCATGAATTCCTTGTTTTTTTAATGCAGCATAGTATTCCACTGTGTGAATATACCAGAGCTTCTCTGTCTATTCATTCATTGATGGATACTTGGGTTGCTTCCATCTCTTTGCTATTGTGAACAATGCAGCAATAAACATGGGTGTGCATATATCTGTTTGGGTGGCAGTTTTGGTTTCTTTAGGATATATTCTCAGTAGTGGAATTGCTGGGTCAAATGGTATTTCTATTTCCAGCTTTTTGAGAAAGCACAATATTGCCTTCTATAGTGGTTGCACCACTTTCTACTCCCACCAACATTGAATAAGGGTTCCAGTTTCTCCACAATCTTGCCAGCCATTTGTTGTTTGCTGCTCTGTTGAACTTGGCTATTGTTACTAGGATGAGAAGTTATCTCATAGTTGTAAGAATCCCTGTGTACATCCAAAAACGTCTCCAACAGGGTAAAAAGGAAAGCCACAGACTGGGGGGAGAAAATTGGTAGTGACATGTCTGATAAGGTACTTATATCTAGAATTTATAGAATACTTCATCACCTCAACAAGATAAACAGCCCAATCACAAAAAAGACACAGGATATAAAAAGACACTTCACAAAAGAAGACATT